CACTGGCACTGACTTTCAGTTATGATAACATGTTTACTCTAAGAAATAACAATTGTTCTGTAATACTTTTGGCACTAACTCAAATTTTGACACCGTGGAATTATGCTATTAGAATACATTGTTAGGTTTAACTGCTTTGTAATATAATGGTTGCAAGCAAAAACAAATGCTATGAAACTAATTGGGAACTAATTAGAGAAAAGTTAAAGGTGTTATCATATACTTTTACCTTCTTAGCTTTTCTCAGATTCATTTATTTTTCCCCATTCAGAAATTAACATATATACAGGAAAGTGAAGAGAACAACTTGACAACTACTTTGACAGTCTTAACTCATACTTGTTTTCTGCAAGTGTATAGAACTTACTAGCATTGTTTATTCACAGAACTGTTAATGTGCTGCTCTTCGTTGGGTGTATGAAGTTAGCATTACCAGAGCATGTGTTGACACATATAACTTCTGTCCCAAGAAAAGGCAAGCATTTCATGTGTTTTCATGCTAATAATTTCAGAAAGCACTATAATGCTCTATTTTTGTTGACAATGAAATTTGACCTCACCTGGCTTTTTGTGTAACATTAAAATGGTACTTGCAATGATAGAAACCAACAAATTGAAATGCACAGCTTATGATTTATGAAGTTTATATCTCATTTTTTAAACACAGAAGAATTCATTTCAGTGGATTTTACAGGAATATATATTTTTTTTGTATGGAGATTGATGAGTGTTAGATATGAGGCTTTGGAACCAAATGATACAATTGTGATACACTTCCATTCCCCATATAACATGCTACCAAACCCAGTTGCTGTGGTGAATTCTTAGAGTTTATAGTTCTTTATAGAATGTCTGTGAAACTATTACCTTTACAGAGCTATTCATTGTAGAAAACCTATTTGAATCAGGTTGACAGAGCACTCTTGTTGCAGGCCACCTACTAGATTGTGAACATAATATGCAATCCTTTATTGTCATGGCATTCAGTATAGAAAGGAAAAGATTGTACATTTGAGGGTTTTAAAATTTCTATTAAAAATCCATTTGGGTGAACAATACCATACAACAGCAGGGGTTTATTACATGTTTGCACTAGCAATGTTTAGAGTGTATCTTCCACTCTACTCTTTGATAAGTTTATATGTTTAAAGATGGAATCTTTGCTTTAATTTTCATATTCTGGAATACTAATGAGGTTGAACATTTTTCTGTTAACCATTTGTACTTTTATCTTTATGAATTGTCTGCTCATATCATTTATACATTTCCTTTGGGGGTAATTTTTAAAATATGGAAATTTTTGAGGTAAGATCACAATGTTGCTATCACTCTGTTAGCATATGTCAATTGCGTAGATCTTCTATTTCTTTTGTCTTCAAATAGCAGTACAAAGAAACACCATAGTGTATGTATGTTCAGTTTGACCACCTTTGCAATTTTTTCAGTAATTGTTTTCTTTGAATAAGCACAGTTGAGTGATTCATGTATACTTTGTGAAAGATTGCTTTTGTGCTCTGTGGTTGGTCATTGTTTAGAAAATAAGATGTCTTCAGTCTTAGTGGGATGGGCAGGTATGGTCTGGTAGCAAAATACCGATCTTGTAGGAAAAATATTTTAGTTTTAGAAAAAAAATTGATGAACACAATCTTCCCATGACTAATTTTATACTGTTAATGAAATGGAACTATTTGCGCAGGATTTGCTCGATTCTAAGTCAGCATGTAAAAATGAATCCAAATAACACTTGTTTTAAGCAGAATCAAATTATTATTCTTACATGAGTTTATATACAACAGAAGCTTTGTTGGGCAATTGTCTTAAAACTTCAAAGCCATTATCTACTTATCTACTATAAACACTTGGCTTTACAAATTGATAGGCCATTAATTAATAATATGAAAGACAGCCATATTATCTTGCCAAGAAAGAGCAGAGGTATTTTATTGTTAGGTAGTCTTGGAAGAGTTCACTGTAATTAATAATCCTACTATATTTCTTACTGCCATCATTACCTCATGGATTTAACTCTCAACTGGGAAGTTATTTAGAGCATGAAATTGCTTTAGAAAGTTTTTCCTGAAGAGGTTAATCTCTCTGTATCAAGGTTTCTCAACTTTGACACTCTTGATATTTTTGCTAGAGTATATTTTTGATGGGGAGATGTTTAGCAGCATCTCACCAGACAGTACCACACAAACTCTCCCCCTTGCAACAATGAAATATGTCTCTAGACATTGCCAAATGGGGGAGGAGAGGCAAACATCTCCTCAGTCCCCCTTCCTCTACAGAGAACCACAAGTCTTTATATTGCTTTTTAACTATATGAACTTGAAAAAATGATTAAAATGTTATTTGTTTTTGGAATTACTCAGGTAATAGTTCCTTTAAGGATAGCTTGATATAATTGTGGCCTGGAGGTTGCAGAGAGGTTTCATATCCTTGCAGTGTTAAAGACCAAAGCTATTCATATCCAATCAGTAAACTTAATGAAAAAGAGATAGAAGAGAATATTGAATCTTCTGAGATGGTTGACATGTCATGTACTGTTCAACTGATGCAGAAATATAGGGAGTGTTCTGAATGTTAAAAAGCCAAAAGAAGTTGATAAAAAGTCATGAAGAAGATGATTTTAGTGAAGGCTTCTTTAGCTTTTGACATAATTAGAAAACCAGCTGTAATATCTTGCCTAGAAAGGGCTACGTTTTCACATTCTGCTTTGTAATTTTAAGAGTGAGGAACAAATGGCAAGTTGTTATCTGTAGTTTATTTTTTAAAAGAAATTTCCATAATATGTCATAGGGGCAATGTGGGTTACCTCTGTGGTTCAGTAAAAATGATCATTGATGGTCATTTAGAGCACTGTATGTGAAAGAAGTGTCTTTGGAATGATCACAAAAATGAGATTCTGTATTCATTCACATGACATATATTATGCTTCTCATGTGCCAGGTTCTGTTTAGGTAATACAGAAAATAATAAAACATTCTGCTTGAATATCCCATTAAAATAATTCTGGATGAAAGGAAATTTTCTGGTTAAGGATCCCACATTTCCAGTTGATTCTGTAATGTTAAATGTCTGTTTGCAAAAGCTGTTTAAAAGTGTGTGTGAGTGTATGTATGATATATATCATGTATGTAATTTAATTCTCTTAAAGCTGTTTCTGAAAGCTATATTCATTTTCTTTGATGTTTGCTAAAATCTTATTTAAATTATTCTCTTTATTAAATATCCATGAGAGTTGGAAAAAACATGGTCCTATATTATTAATTTATTTTTGATTATACAGTGGCTCTAATATCATTAAGAAAAATTGATTTCACCCTCAAGACCAGAATTTGTGCTAATTATTGCCAGTTGGTGTCGGAATTTAAAAAGCAAGATTTTTATTAAAACTCTGGTATAGTCTTAAAAACTTTTTTTGGTTAAAACTGATCAACTTAGATTATAGGTATGATAAAGAAAAGGTGAAATATTTATGATATTGGATAGACTGGAGTGGAAAAACAAGTAATTCAACATTTAGGCAGTTACAGATAAGTAGGGAAAATAAAGAGTTCTAGCACTTGAAAATCCATTCTTCTTCCTTATTTTCTAGTGTGAGTCTACATCATGAATGCACAAACCTATTCAGAGCCATGAGTGCCCTGGTCTTAGGCAGGTGATTCAGAGACAATTTTAGCCATATATACCTAAGGAAACACAAGCCAGCCTGGCCTAAGGAATAATGAAATCTTGTACCATAATGGTCATTTTTTAGTGTAACCTAACTGAGGCCCATTAACTATTAAATATTTTGATATATTTTGATATATTTTCTGTGGAGCTAAGTGATCTGTTGACTACTGTTCTCCAATATTTTATGGCCCCTAAAAATTACTGATCTAATATACATGGGTATAACCTATATTTATTATTTTTATTATTTACTTCTTTGAAAAGATACAAATGCCACTAGACTGTAGCTATTTATCTAAATAATCCCAAACTAATAAGTGAGAGATATTGCTAGAGAACAAATTTTTTAAAGATTTTATCTATTTATTCTTAGAGAGGGGAGGGGAGGGAGAAAGAGAGGGAGAGAAACACCAATGTGTGGTTGCCTCTTGCGCACCCCCTCCTGGGGACCTGGCCTGCAACCCAGGCATGTGCCCTATACTGGGAATCAAACCAACAACCCCCTGGTTTGCAGGCCTCATGCACTCAATCCACTGAGCCACACCAGCCAGAGCTAGAGAACAAAAATATTTTAACATGCAAAAATTTTTGTTCATTTTGGGTTGACTAGAATTATAACTAACACAAGAGGAAATAATGTAATTTATCATAGTTAATCTTTGACTTTTATTAATGGGGCCTTTGAAGTTTGGAATCAGACTAAACTTATGTTCAAATCCTGGCTCAACCACTTAAAAACTTTTGTGATCTTAGATAAATTATTTTTAACCCTTCTGTAGCTCAATTTTCCTATCCTTAATAAAAAGAATATAATCATAGTACCTATTGCAATAGATTATTTTAAGGGTTATAAGAGATCATGTGTGTAAATTTCTTGGCAAAGCACCTGATACATAGTGACTGTTCAGTAAATGAAAGATATTATTTATCTTTCTAAAAGTTGGTATTCCAAATTAATTTTAGCTGTGAATAACACAATTTGATTGTATTACTACCTACACAGTGAAATAAATACTGAGAGCAATTACTTTGGCACTAAAAAAAATGAAATTCTCTGTGATTATTGTTTTGAACCAGCTTTTAGGTTGATTTCTCAGGTCTCATTTATCTTACTGACTTTGGAAGCTTTTTGCAAATATATATATTTCTTCTAGAATGTAAAATGGTCTGAGCCTAAAATATAGTGAAACAGAATTTAGTATATTCCACAGTCAGATGATTGGTACTAGTGACTGGTTATTTCTTGAAATATTCATCTTATTACTGTGGATTATATGAGAACTTCTAACTTGCCTTTGTTTTTTATTTAAAAAAAATTTCAGATCTCTCGTGGAAGAGGAAGACCAACACATGAAACTGTCCCTTGGAAGCAGCGAAATGGGTCTCTCATCCCATTTACAGTCTTCCAAGGCCGGAGCCACTCGCATCTTTACCAGCAATACCCATAGTTCTGTGGTGTTACAGGTACTCTAAACTGTTCTTCTTTTTGTATTTACATGGCTTTAGAAACTACCTAGGGTTTTGGTGATGTAGGATGTTGACAGTGGAGGAGTTTTGTACACGTTTGGGAACAGGGGTTATAGGGAAACTCTACTTTCTGCTCAAGTTTGTTGTAAACCAAAAACCTCTAAGAAATTAAGTTTATTAATTTTTTAAAAGCAAACAAACACCAGCGGAGAAACCTTTAGGGGAAAACTGCATACCTTCATGGTGTTTAAACAAATCTCCAGAATTCATTCTTTGTTTTGTTTGTATAAAGGAAGTCTTGAGATTATACCACTTTCTTAGAGAACAATGTACCTGGCAACATTAACTTTCCATTGACTCAGCCAATGTAATTGTCACAAAGTCCCTTTACTAAAATTTCTAATTCCTTATTCACAACTTATTTTACTATGACCTTTATCATAGTTCCAAAGGTTGTATTTATTTGATGTCTCCATTCACATTAGCAATGTGAGAACTGCTAGATTCAAATACACTGATAGTTGTAAGAAGTAGTAACTCACATCCAAGGAGAGGATGGAAAAACAATAGAAAGCCAAAAGAACACACAGAACCGCAATGTGGAGGTATTTAGTGTAGGGATAGTCCCAGTACTTCTGACCCTTGTGGACATTCCCTGACCTCTGTGGGCATTGCTGAATCAGAGAATCATAAAATACTGGATGTCCATAAATGTCTTCTAGATATAGTTAAATGATGTCAGTGTTCTCTGCTTAGTAAGATAAGGAAAATAAATCTTTGTAAATGTATTTTTAAAAGAATATGCATGAAATTTATGCATATATCTGGTCAAGAACCATTATAATAAAGCAGTATATAGTGTAAAGGATAGTATTAGTATACTATGTGGATAACATAGGAGGGAAGAAGCTTTTCCTTGCTGTGTTATGTAATTTCTTTGGGCTTCATTTTTCTTATCTCTAAAATATGACTCTCGACTAGGAGACCTTTAAATTCCCTTCTAGTTCCCATCTATGTGATTCAGTGAAATCACATTTTCCAAAGCTTCAGTTTCTAATGGGAGGTGGGTTTTAGGGTTTATTATTCTGTGGGTATCATCAACAGAAATGTGAGGGTCAGGAAGGAAACAATTTCCATCTCCTTGCATTTTAATTCTATGTAAATGGTTTAATTATTGGTTTTTGAAGGCTATGAGAGGAGGCAATAATGGGGCAAGCAGATAGAAGCATGAGAGAAAAGGATTTTTTGTTATATTAAAGTACTCTCTCTCTAAAGAAAATACAAGGACACCCATGTACCCCTCCACTGTACTTCTGCCCTATCCATGACCATAGTCATGTGTTAAAGACAGTTTTTGTGGCTCTCCTAATTTTTAAAATGTACTTTGAACCAAATAATGAAAGGCACTGCAGTGGAGTGAAACATATTTAGAACAGTGGTTCTCATACTGTAGTGCATATCAGAATCACAAGGAGGCGCGCTCTTAAAATGGTGTGCACTGGTCCCCATCTCCAGTTTTCTGAATCAAAAACTAGGGGTGGGCCCGGAAATGTGCATTTCTAGTAAATCCCCAGGTGATGCTGTACATCTGAGGGACATACTTTTAGAACCATTGTTGTGGAGCAAAGGCTGTCTTCTACCAAGAGAGATGGCCTCTCCCTTGCCCCCTGATATCATATAGAGGTAAGTTAATGTTATAATGGAGAAACAATGGAAGTGCATTAATTTCCATCCATAGGGAAATGGCTACATGAATTACGTTATATCAACTATGTAACTATGTAATAATGTACAGTCACTAAAAAGAGAAAGACAGATCTGTATGTATTAAGTGGATAGACTATATAAAATGAAAAAAAGTAAGAAGAGAAATGTAGTATATTCATACAATGGAATATTTTTCAGTTATGTAAAGGAATGAAGTACTGATACATGCTACATGTGGATGAATCTAGAAACATTATGCTACATGAAAGAAGTTAGTCACAAAAAAACATATTTTATATGATTCCATTTATATAAAATATCCAGAATAGGGAAACCAATAGAGACAGAAAGTGGACTAGTGGTTGCTTAAGGTTGGAGAAAATGTGAGGATACAAAGGTGATACCTAAAGGGTACAGCATTTCTTTTTGAGGTGATGAAAATATCCTAAAATTGATTATGAAGATGATTGCACATATTCTTCCTGAATATACTAAAAATCACTAAATTGTACACTTTCAATGTGTGAATTGTATAATGTGTTAGTAACATCTCAATAAAACTGTTAAAATAGTAACAAGGCAATATGTATTGTATAATCCCATCAACTATTAATAGAAAAATATACAATATGCATACATATACATGAATGTAAATGTATAACGAAAGGTCTGCAAACAATGAACGGTGTCTTCTACTTTGTGCTCTAATCCTGTACTGTTTAATTCATTTTACAATGGAAATATTTTTTCTGTATTACCTTTGTAATTTAAAAAATATATAATGGTTGACAAAAGTGTAGTTGGGTCTTAGAACCCTTAGTTCTGTCATGTTTTAGCTCAGCCTTTGTTGGCCCAGGTTGATGGTAAGAACAGTGATGTGAAAGAAACCTGAGAGTTCGTATTAAGTACAATATTCCTTCCTAAACTTTTTAAAAAAGATTTTATTTATTTATTTATTTTTAGAGAGGAGGAGGGAGGGAGAAAGAGAAGAAGAGAAACATCAATGTGTGGTTGCCTCTTGCTGGGCCTCTACTGGGCACCTGGCCCACAACTCAGGCACGTGCCCTAGACTGGGAATCAAACAGCTGCCCTATGGTTCACAGGCTGGTGCCCAATCCACTAAGCCACAGCAGCCAGGGCTGTCATAAACTTTTAAAAAATGTTCTAATATTTTCTGTGGTGGTGTACAGGTACCACTCTATATTGCTTTTGAAAAACTTTGTATACTCTATTTTTTTCCAAAGATTTTATTTATTTATTTTTAGACAGAGGGGAAGGGATTGAGAGAGGGAGAGAAACATCAATGGGTGGTTGCCTCTCATGCACCCCCTATTAGGGACCTGGCCTGCAACCCATACCTGTGCCCTGACTGGAAATCAAACTGTTGACTCTTTGGTTTGCAGGCTGGCACTCAATCCACTGAGCCACGCCAGCCAGGGCTATATACTCTCTTTAAAAGTCTGTTAAAAATTATGTTCTCACAAACAGAGATTATAAGTACAAGCACTAAAAGGGACCATTTTTCTTTTTGGTATCTAATCTTAGGTGTGTGGTTGTCAAGGGAACAAGCTAGAGAAATGTTTAATGTATAAATGGTATCATTGTTTTAAAATTAGCAATCATAGAAACTCCAGCTTCAAAAGGTATTGAATGTAGCTGTCAGGGGAACAGATCTTTAGGGAGAGGCTGTTTTAAGGAGTCTCATTCTGAAGGATTCCCCACTGCATAACTGTAGTGGAAAGAACATGTGTTTAGGCCATAACTGGAATCCTAGTTTTACCACTTACCAGCTAGTTATGTGACCTAGGGAAAGTCATTTATCCTCCTTTAGCCAGCTTCCTTGTCTGTAATATGGATAAGAGATAGGACGATTAAATGTGACAATTTATGGGAAAGTAAAGTGCATAATTCATTTTCCTTCCATTTGAACCAAACAGTGAATGTGTCAGAGAAAATGTAGCTAATTAGGAGTGATGGGTTTTCCAAATGAAGGGTCCATCTTGTGGGCTTGGTCTGCTCTAACAAATTAGTCATCTCCATCCAATAGGCTTTAGCAAATGAGGCTGACAAAGAATTTTGCCTGGAAAGAATTTTGATACCTAATAGGCTTGGATTCCTAGAACCTTGAACAAATCTCAGGAGAACCCATGATGGAATTAGCAAAATGACTTTTACTCAAGTAAGGAAGATTAAGTAGTGTTTGCTTAAATAGTAATTAGTAAAAACCAAGGATTATTTCATTTTCCTCACTCCTTTCCTACTAGTCCAGCTGTGGGTACTTATGGAAAACTTCCATCCTTTAACTTCATTCTGTTATCCCAGGTTGTCTTTTCCCAACATCTTTCTTTTACTACCCCATCTTATGGTAATTCATTGAATCAAACCCTTTTTAGAACCTTCATTGCTTAAAATAACAGCTTTATGGAGATACAATTTATGTAGCATATATTCACCCATTTAAAGTATGTAACTCAATGGTTTTTAATATATTCACAGGGTTTTGCAGATATCACCACAATTCATTGTAGAACATTGTCATCCCCTCAAAAAGAAACCTTGTATCCATTAGCAGTTACTCCCTGCTTACTTCCAACCCCTTCCCCAACCCTAGGCAATCATTAATCTATATGCTATCTCTATAGATTTACTTATTCTGAGAATTTCATATAAATGAAATTGTAAAATATGTGGTCTTTTGTGACTAGTTTCTTTTACTTAGCATAATGCTTTTAATGCTCGTCCACATCATAACATTTATCAGTACTTGTATCCTTTTTATGACTGAATAATATTCCATTGTATGGATATGCCACTTTTTAAAATCTATTCATCCATTGATGGACATTTGGGATATTTCAACTTTTTGGCTATCATCAATAATGCAATTGTGAAAAGTTATGTGCAGGAGTCTCTGTGGACATGTTTCATTGATTTTTTTCATATATACCTAGGAGTGGAATTGGTGTATCATATAGTAATTCTATGACAAATTATTTTTTAAAGAACTTCCAGAGTGTTTTACAAAGTGGCTGTACCATTTCACATTCCCATGGGTAGTGTATGTGGATTCCAACATTTTTTTATTGTTGTTCAGTTAGAATTGTCCTCATTTTTCTCCCTATTGCTCTCTCCTGCCCAGTCCAACCCCTGCTCCCAAAGACAACCTCCTCCCCATTGTCCTTGTCCATGGGTCCTTTGTACATATTCTCCTTCTTTCCCCTTTATACCCATCCTCCCACCCCTGTGTGTACTACTATGCAGCAGAAAGAAAGCAGGAACTCCTACCCTTT